CACTATCTCAAGCTATAACTCTGTATGCAAGAGCATGCACCAAAAACTGATACATTAAATGTATTTGCAAAGCACTTAGTTTTTGATGGGTCTGTTTAAATGAGTTGGTATTTTCAGTTCATTTCATACAGGATAGTTTTGTGATGTTGCCATCACCATAACTGATACTTTTGTTGCTAGGTTAGGGATAAAGGGCCTGACCTAACTTGCATAGAAAATCAATGAGAATGTTTCCATTCACTTCAGTGAATATTGGATTGGGCCCTAAATGTGCTGTAGAAACAGAATTAACCCCTGGGCCAGAGAGAGGATATCTTTAGGGTAGGATTTGGGGCACATTTTGCAGGGGAAGCTTGAATTGCTGCTGCACTTGCTGTATCTATTGCATTGATAAACAGAGGGCTCGGGTGCCCAGATCCGTCAGTCTGGCACAAAATTCACTCCAGAGTTATAAAGCATATTTTTAAAACTTGCTTCTCATAGGTAATCTGTCAAGGTGTATCTGAGCCAAACCCAGGCACCTCTGTGGACAAACCAATGGAAAATTTGGCTCAAAACTATAGAAGCTTAGAAGAAAACTGAAGCTATGGAAAACTCTAATGATGAGAATAAGAAGTTTGTCCAGTTGTACAGACATGACCAATACTTTATGCTGTATCATGGGAGATAACTTACTTGAACCTCCACTTAATCCTAACATTACTTTGTACTCAACTGCAATTTTTACCCTTGCTGCCTTCCACTCCTGATGCAAAATGTACTATGACTTCTTCCTGCATGGTAGTATCTTGTAACTGCCTTACATAGGGGACGTGTGTTCTAACATGGAAACAAAAATTGATGCTTGCAGAAGCCCTGGATCTGATGATCAAGTGGCTTGTCAGGCACTCAACACTGCCTGATGTTCTGGTAACGCTGGCATTCTCAAAACCACATAAGTGATGAAAAGCCTGTATTTAAAATGGGAGGGATATCAGAGAGTTGTTAAACGTGTTTGCTTTTGCCATGAGAATGTTAATGACTATCCCATGTTCTGCAGCATTAAGTAGTAGCAAACTGTTATTATTCACATACCAATTGCTCCTAGCCCCGTCCTGCGCTATAATATTTGGTTTAAGACTTAGTTGCTGAAAAGCGTTAATTTATTGCTTTTTCATATGAAATCATTTTTCTATTATGATGCTCTCCTTGATTTCTTTATCATTTGTCAGAGTGGGTGTAAATATGCACTGAGGACTGTTGTGCAACTCATTTTTCCAGGAGTACTCTGAGACAATTAGCTAGTATGTGCTACCTTTGTATCAAAACATGGCACCTTTCCCAGTGATATTGTAGCTAGCAAAGCTAGAATCATGCTCTTGCTTTCCTTGTCTTTTTTGGAAGAATGCTTGGAATTTTACTTTCTGGAGCTTTTTTTTTTAAACACAAACCAGTTTGACTCTCCCAAAGGGCATAAAATCAACTTGTAGCAGCCCAATGACAACTTGTAGCAGGCAAATTCACAATGCAACACATTGGTATTTCTGCCGAACTGCAACTATCTTCGATATCACTGTCATAGGTCATTCAGCTGCAGAGACAGAATGAACTGACCCCACCCACTAGTGGCACTAATTGGCACCTTTGTTGGCAGTCTCATTAGAGAGGCCAAGAATTGCACAGGCAATGGGGGTATTAAAATGCTCTCAGCACATCAGATCCCTTCAGATCAGAGATGAGGCATAGCGGTGGGAGATGACATGGAAAGTTTCCACTGCCACTGTCTGTCCAGCATCTGCTCTATGGATAAGTAGAAGATTCCAGTGGCTGGGGCTGTCACTCACACATCTTTCACCCACACTAAATTCACAAAAATGGGCAGGGAGGATTTGTGACTTGGGCATTTTGTCACACTGGATAACTCTGGCTAGTAAATGTAGCAGCCGCACCACATACAGCCTACCACCTCATAGGAACACTCTGCTCTCATTCAGGTTGTTGTTGGGTTTTTTTAATTGCTGTATTGAGGTCATGTTGCCTGGAGGACAGAACATTGGCCTGGGACTCGGGACACCTGGGTTCTATTCCTGGCTCCACCACCAGCTCTATTCAGTGACCTTGCGGAAGGCATTGCCTCTCTGTGCCCATTTCCCTATGTGTAAAACTGGGCTAATGATACTGACCTCCGTTTTTAAAGGGCTTTATAAGCTACTGCTGTAAAGTGCTATAGCAGAGCTAGGGGCGGTTATTATATAAAGCTCTCAAAGCACTTTCCCAAAGGCAAGTGTTAGCCCCATTTTAGGGATTAGGAACGATAAGGAATCCAAAATAATAGACCCAATCACTGGCTGAGTAGGGAAGTTTTTCCTCTCCCAACCCTCTCAGGAATGGTCCATAATATATCAAGGTTTTCCATACGCAAGGTATAAATGGTATAAAGGTTGGTTTGCTGCTGGCAGCTTGGCCACAGTGCAAAGAAGAAACCAGCACGTTGGTCTCTTATACTCCAGCTCTCTCTTCCTCCCAGCTGGTTTATAACCCACATCCTTCCGGGAATCAGCTGTCTGCTGCGGCTCATTAGGATTTCTGTGGGAGCACCTGCCAATCCTCCTGTCTCCTTCAGGAGCATGCCAAGGTGGTTAGCTTGATCTGGAAGTTGTTTTAACTGTATCCCTGCCTTCATCTCTGCACAATTGTTCCTGCCCATACACTGTTGGGGATGGCATGGGAGAGCGTCAGTAAAACAACAGATTTTTTCCATCATCATGCCATTAGGTTTTAATAGAACTCTAAAACATACTCCATCAAGTTAAAAATAGCCATTAAAATATTATATAGTTGTGACGGGTTGGATCACAGAAACCCCCCTGGGAGCTGCCACCTGATGTGCAAAAGACTACCGCAGCTCCTGTTTTCCCTGCCAGCTCAGGACTCCAGCACCCTGTCTTGCTGAGCCAGACACTCCCGTCTGGCTCCAACACAGAACCAGGGTCTGAATAACTTGCCCCAAAGCTGCAAGTTTACCTGAAAACAGCTCCCAGAAGTGTGCTTGTCTTTAGCACTCAGATGCCCAACTCCCAATGGGGTTTAAACCCAGATAAATCCGTTTTACCCTGCATAAAGCTTATGCAGAGTAAACTCATAAATTGTTCGCCCTCTATAACACTGATAGAGAGATATGCACAGCTGTTTGCTCCCCCAGGTATTAATACATACTCTGAGTAAATTACTAAATAAAAAGTGATTTTATTAAATACAGAAAATAGGATTTAAGTGGTTCCAAGTAGTGACAGACAGAACAAAGTAAGTCACCAAGCAAAATAAAATAAAATGCGCAAATCTATGCCTAATCAAACTGAATACAGATAATCTCACCCTCAGAGATGCTTCAGTAAGTTTTTTCTCAGGCTGGACACCTTCCAGGCCTGGGCACAATTCTTTCCCCTGGTACAGCTCTTGTTGCAGCTCAGGTGATAGCTAGGGGATTCTTCATGATGGCTCCTCTCCCTCCTTTGTTCTCTTCCACCCCTTTATATATCTTTTGCATAAGGCGGGAACCCTTTGTCCCTCTGGGTTTCCCTCCCCCCTCACTGGAAAAGCACCAGGTTAAAGATGGATTCCAGTTCAGGTGACATGATCACATGTCACTGCAAGATTTCATTACTCACTTGCCAGCACACACTCTACAGGAAGACTTACAGGTAAACACAGCCATCTGCAGATAATGGGAGTCATCAAGATTCCAAACCATCATTAATGACCCACACTTTACATAATTACAATAGGCCCTCAGAGTTACATTTTATATTTCTAGTTTTAGATACAAGAGTGGTACATTTATACAAATCGGATGATCACACTCAGTAGATTATAAGCTTTGTAATGATACCTTACAAGAGACCTTTTGCATGAAGCACATCCCAGTTACGTTATATTCACTTATGTTTTTATAAAACCATATAGACTGCACGTCACAATAGTAATATTGTCTTACTGGACATTTTAAATAAATAAAATATGGTATTTAAGACAGCACATTGGCAAATGGGACCTGATAATCCCAAATGAAATAAGGAATTAGGCAGGGCCTTAATTCAGCTGTTGCCTTGACAGTTTTTAAATGTCTTTTTCTCTGTCATGTACAAAATCATATCTCATGACAGTTCATTATGTATCCATCCTTTAGGAAGAGAGATCAGAATAATAGTCTTAGTAATACAGGAACTGTCATAGTGCAATTATCAATAACACAGGAACAGTTTCTACAGTGTAATGCAGTTATCAGCGATTACTTAGCTTCAGGTACATAGTGCATCAGAAATATGTGATAGCGTGTTTTCTTTATGCATTGGGGAAATAAGAATAGACCATATACAACAAACAGATTATTTTACAGAAAAAAAAGAATGAAGATGTTCTATTAATAATGCAGACAAAATAAAGTGTATCCTAATCCTTTTAATAATTATTTAAGATATTAAATGTAAATGAAGTCCAGAAACTACACTGATGGGACCCATATAGTTATCTAGACATATGCTAATTTCCCTCATTTGAAATGTGTTGTATTATTTAAAAAACTATTTTCACATTTTTTTTCCCCACCAACAGTTTGTAGGTTGTAGTCTATGGGCACACTTCAGCATTCCTCTTGTACGCTAACACTAATTGAACATCGGTGGAGTTGACTTCACTTGTAAGTGAATAAGGAGTGTAGTGGTGAAGGTGCTGACTACCAACATGTTACAGAAAGGGGCATCTTACCCATTTATTGTTCATTGCACCAATATGATCATCATCTTACTCAAAGTCATATTACTACTAAGAACTTATCTTCAAAGAGCTTAACCAACATGAATGAATCAGTTTTGGCAGGGAGGCTGTCCTTTTTCCTATTTCTCTCTAGTTCTTTTCTTAAGCCTCCTAGTTCTTCCACCTCTCCTGTTTGATTTACCAAATGTGAAGAATTTGCGATTTTTCTCTCACTCAGAATTGTGATAGTACTTAATAATTAGAGTCAGTGGGGTTTAATTTTGTTATTAAAATTGGACAGTATTAAATAAAAATACCTTGCATACAGTCAGTTCATGTCTTTCTTATAGTTGCAGAGTTACATCACGTTGTTTTTCAGGAGTATAATGGTGCAACAGTACTTAGAAACCAGTTTGGTTTTCCATAATGAGTTCCATGAAAGGTATTTGTTAGCATCCTATTTTTGCCTTTGTTCTTGTTTTTCCAGTCCCACGCCAGAGATACAGGGCAGGGGCTATATTTCCCTGTGCATTTGGAAATTTTTTTGGGTGTTGCCACAATCTAATCAAAAACATTAACATCAAACAGTCAGATAATTCCCAGATGGGCAAAACAAAACCCACCTACTTCAACTGCTTTCTGGTGGGAATTATTCATTTGTTTTACATTTACTATATATTTCAAAACAAAAATAGTTTTCTTGTACAGCACGTTTCCTGAAAGATACCTTGGAAAGTACAATTCCACCATATTGTAAATGACTATTCCCAACGTTTAAATATGATTTGAATGCAACGATTAATGGAAGGGCAGAAAAATGAATAAGACAAAATATCTAATTGAAGTGCCACATCCCCACATGCTCAGATCCATTCCACTCTGAGTGGCATATTATAACAATTGGCATGTTCTGATATACACAGCAGCATCTTCATGCCAATTTAGGAGTACCTTTCTCATGGACAAAGGTGTACAAGTCTCTCTCTTTTATACAGCAAAATCGGTAGTACTCATGTATTCATTGATGGCTAAAACTTCTCCTTTAAGCCAGATTTTAGCCTGGCACATCTGATTGACTTTTCGGCATGTTCTGAAAGGGATGAGGGAAATCTGCCCTTTCTAGGTGATGCTCTTTGGCAGGGACTGTGTCTTACATCGGTCTAGGAAGCACCATGGACACCACTGGGTCTGTTAAAATAATCGCCTCTCAGGAAACTTATTCATGGGCCTCTGCTCTACCCTGGTGAAAGCTGCATCTGGGCAACCTGAGGGGCATTGGCAGAGCTAGATGAAGGAAGACAGAATAGCATCTGCTCCTGATATGCCTTCCCCTAACCCGTGTTATTAGCTCCTGCACTTTCACGAGTATCACGTCAAGCCACAGTTTAAAAACAAGAACAGTTTTTCTTTTGAGCAAGTCAGAATAGCCCCTATCCCCCTCCCCCAAATGTATTTGTTTTAACTACAGGGCAGGGAAAGATTAGCGAAGAGAAGCCAAGATTTGAAGGCAAATGAACTGCAAAGTCACAACCTCATCCTGCATTCAGAATCAGGCAGTCAGACGCCGGCCCCCCTGCAGAGGCTCACTGACTTCACAGGTCTCCCACCTGCCTGGCTCTCCATGAAGGATCAAGGCCTGATTGACAGATTTCTCCAAGCACCATGCTTCTCCCCCTTCCTGTTCTTGCTTGCAGCAGGGATACTGCAAGCTGTAGCCTTGTGGCTGAAGGACAGCACTGGGAGTCACAAGACCAGTATTCTACTTCCAGCTATGCCACGGACCCGAGAGACCTGGGGCCCGCCCCAACCTTCCCCGGCCCTGTTTTGCCATGTGTGAAAAGCGGGTCATACTCCCCATTTCACATGGGGATGTACAGCTGAGTGTCTGAGTGCTTTAAGACCCCTGGGTGGAAAGCACTGTAGCAGGGTAAATTACCTGCACTATTAACTTACTGGAGGTGACTGCACTTTTGGCCTTTTCTGCCTGAATCTTTGCAGTCTCCTTCATCACCTGGTACTCAAGTGACTCCCTGCAGAAGCAAAACACAGCCACTGTCTGTGACGCTTCACACAGCTACTCGCGGACACAGGCTTTGGCCTCCAACCCACATTCTCTGACTCATTCCCAGTGAATGACTGCTGCAAATATAGTGGATATGAGCATAGCACGCATCGCCATGGCAACCACTAAATGAATCATGATCATTTTATAACGTGACATCACAAAAAAGCAAAAGGGGAGTGGGGGGGGGGAAGGAAGGGTGTGTGTCAAGTATTTCCAGGCAGAGCAATCTGTGTGTGTTATGCACACAATAGAGACAGTGAAGAGCTCAAGTGCGGGGAAGTGCCCTCTGTCTCCACTTGCAGTAGAGATAGGATGAAAACAGCAAGTGGCTAGGTGGGATTTTTTCCCCTTGCTCATTAAAGAAAGAACATTATGTCTGAAGAAGGCATTTCAGTTCTGTTTTCTTCCCCCAGGGTAACATTTTGGTTGCCAGCCAGTTCCTGAAGCACGGAGGGTATTTCTATTTTCTGTGTGCATCTGCATAATTAGGATGAGCTGAGAACGACTGAATCCATTTAAATTTCTGCTTTGTTCCTTGACAAAAGCTGACCTCGGGATGATATTTTCAAGCTGCTGTAAAAAGGCCACCTCCAGGGCAGAATTTAGGATGGGGGATCCAAATGGTACAGCCTCTGGAGTTCCATAGCAGACAGGATATAAGCCCTGCTAGCATAACAGATGATCTGTTCAAGCCCCCCTAACTGAAACTGGTCTGATTTAACTAGAATTGGGGGGAAGACCACCATAAAAGACCAGCCAAAACAATCTCTCATTTATATGTGGTTTTAGGCCTCATCCGGAGTAACTAAATCAGTTTAAAAATCAGTCTTGTTAAACAGGTGCTAACCCCTAATGTAGATGCACTTAAATCACTTTAACCCTTACCTTATTTTGATTTAGCTTATGTAAACCCTAGAGCTAGAAGGCTTACAGGGAGGCAACTCTGAATCCTCCTAGGGGAGAAATGGGGGGGTGGGGTGGGGAAATCTAGCAGCTAAGCAGGTTTCATTTACATGAATTAGAATTTTGCTGATCCGTATTTCCAGATAGGCCAGTGTCTCCAACTATTGCAAATGAACATGCTAACAGGACCGATTTTTAAGTCAAGCTAGTTAAACCAATGCACCTTTCAAGTATGGCCTCAGATTATTTTCTCTGTAGATCTAGGGCCTAATTCTGCATTCCTTGTACAAAAGGGCTGGTCTATGTGGGGAAATTTACCAGCATTACTATACCAATACAGGTTTCAGAGTAGCAGCCGTGTTAGTCTGTATCCGC